CGAAACCGCAGGTATTTGCCGATGTTGCATTCCAGCTTTTAATTCTGCATTCTCTTTTTTGAGAGCTTCAATCAAGTTCATCAACTCCTCAAGCTTTGTTTGCTGGACAGCCTCCATCGGATTGGAGCTTTCACCTATCATTATTCCTGAACGGAGTAAAGGCATTAATCTCAAGTTCGCGAGTAGATCCGAGCTTCGTGAGTGGGAATTTTTCAGATCTGGTTTCGAATTCTCCGAATTATGCTCACCGTTTACGAGATCTGAATTGTCTGAACTTTAAATCCGTCAGATCCTGCCATAATCAAACAACTCGTTGTTGCGTAGATCTGAAGCCACTTCTGCCAAAGCTTCAAGAACTGTAATTCCTCCAGAGTAGGTCACAATCGCTCAGATCTGGATCCAAATCCCAAAGATCGAGTCTCGATCAACCGAATTGGTCTGAATCCACTCGATATTCCTCATTGATCAACCAAACTTCCATGCGATTCCCACAGACGGCGCCAATTGAAGATGCAAGAAATTCATACTCTCTTTCTCTCTCTAGAATTCTTACATTTCAACAAAAAGATCCCCCCATTCTTTCCATTCCTTCCCTTATTTATAGATATTTACAAGATATTTACAAATATTGACGGATTGCTGGATCTGGGCCTGTTCCTCCATAAGTCCTGGTCACCTTTGATGGGCTTATTCGCGTTCGGCCCATATGGCAGTGTCTTTTTATGGGCCGACCCAGCTGTACGGACCGGATGTCGTGCTTGCAAGTCAGATCCGGCCCATGTCGTCCTGGGCCTCCTCAATTACACACAAGTTTCTTAGACACAACCAGGAGGGAGCCAGCATAGGCCCCTTTGAAAGGTGCCTCCCTGGACCCATACGGGCCATGCTGCTCTATTAAATGGTTCATATATATATATATATATATATATAATTGCTTAATGCCCTCCCCTTCTAAATTTGTTTTTAAAAAATTGTATTTCCTTTATTCAATGAAATTCTAAATTTTTCCCCTTCGATTTTAAAGGTTTAGTATGCCCTATGAGCCAAGTTTTTGGCTACTTCTCCGAACACAACATTTCTTTTAATATAAAAGTTAGCCTAATGCAAGAGATTTACGCCGTTGTAGAGAAAAAATTAACAAATAAACATTGATAGTATGTAATTAAATAACTTGAAGAATTTTAATTTAATGTTTGAATTAATTTAGTTGTCAATTTTATACTTCCAAACATGAATTGTGAGTTTCTATGCATAAAAGGAAGCTTCATACATCTTTTTATTCATAGGCAGATGATGATTTTGATTATATTAGTGATGAACTTTGAAACTCCTGTTGTACCAGAAATGGAATTGAACAACAGACAAAACAAGAAAAAAATCTAAGCCTTCATGAGAATGAAATGCATCCAAAGACAAAAATTGACGTTTCCCCTAATAATTCGAGAGATTTTTTATTTATTTATTATTTTTTTAATACTTTAGTTGTTAGAAGGTCGAGATAGCATCATCAGTCAAACAATTAATTAGTATGACTTGTTACGTTCAATAACTATTAAAAGTAATTGATTTTAGTGCTGATGATTGAATGAGATGAATGAAAGTGATTGACACAAGAGCTCCTCCAAGTATTCAGTTGGGTGGGACATCTCTCGGACTAATTTGCTACTGATATTTTGAATAAAATAATAATAGTTGCAAATGTCGAGAAATAACATATTTTGATTGGTATAAATTTTTAAATAAAAAAGAAATGAAATGAAGGAATACAAGGGATACAAATTAAGCCCGAGCCGTAAAAAATGAGAAAAATATACGGATAGGGTTACAAAATTTAATGAAATTCTTTTAATACGGACTTTACTTGTATTTAATAACAAACAAAATCAAAATATTTTATGAGTTTTAGTGTATGTTTCTATTATCTTTTAACCTTATTTATTTTTAAATTGTCATTTTGGCTTAATTTGTATCCCTTATATACCTATATATAAATTTGTCTCACAAGACTTGAACTCTGAATGAATGTGCTGCTAGGATAAAGTTTTTGATCTTTATTCATTCTTATTTTATTTATTTATTTTTGTTACAGGATAATGTATTTATACACAACAAAATGCAAGCCTATTCTCAATGAATGTGCTACTAGAATAAAGTCTTTGATCTTTATTCATTTTTATTTTATTTATTTATTTTTGTTATAGGATAATGTACTTATACACAACATAATGCACGCCTGTTTGAGGAATAAATTTTGATTACACCAGACGCACCGTACACCGAACTCATGTGAACCCTACATACACAACACGCTCGAATGTGAACAGTAAACTGAACACTCAAAAATTTATCCTATCTTGGGGCCGACATATTAATCAAAACTACAACACTTTCTTGACTTGTATTGAAAACTCTATTTAATATCGAAATGACACTGATAAAGGAAGCAAAAACATTGATTCCAATGGTGGAGCCGAAACTGCTTTACATTAGATGCAACGAGGTAGGGGCCGGTTTGGGAGGTGACCATTTTTGAAAAGGTGTGAAAGACATATTTGGTGTTTTGGTGGTGTACGCATGCACAACATATCATCAAATCGAGGTACGAGACCATTTGACGCCCGACATAGTAGTAATTGAGAATTATTAGCGCCCACAATTTTCTCCTGTTCCTAGCAAAGAATCTTCATCAAGGAATTGTTTTCTTTTTTAATCATTATACTTATTTTATCTTCTACAATACTTTAACTACATTTTAAGATATTTTATTTTTTCTTCTAGAATACACTTAAAAGTTGAGCATGATTGATATTATATACCCATACTCCAATTTAAGAAGAGTAAGCACCACAATCTTCAAGAAGTTTTTTCTTTTTTAATTATTGTACATATTATATTTGTTTTTAAGAATATTGTAACATATTGTAGTAGATTTTATTTCCTTTTCTATTCGGGGAACTCTTGTATAAACACATACAAAATATTAAATATTATTATTATTTTTTTGATATATCAAAATATTTTGGATACTCAAGATATATTTATTAATTTTGTAAAGATGTTTTTTCTGACTTAACCATATGAATCTTTTATAGGACAGTCTTATATCACTCAAACATGTTATTCAATAAACTTTAAATTTATTATCATAAATATCAAAATGAACATTAATTAAAAAAAAAAAAAACAAAGTTTCGAAACTGCAATTCTATTTGATGAAGAGTAGAGTTTCGAGACTACTGTATTTTTCAAAGTTATGAAGGGCCATAACGCTTCAAAGTTATGAAGGGCCATAATGCAGAGCGCTGGGTGGGAGAAGTATTGGTGCTAAGGCCAAAGGCACAAAGATATTCACTAATTTTTAAAAGAATATATTGAAATATCTTCAATACTCTGATATATATTTACCAATTTTGTAGGGATATCCTCAAATATCTTCAATTCCCACTAATGTACTCCTCCATTATATACACAAGAATACTATTCAATGCAGGGCTCGGGAGGGATCTTGTACTTTTGGATGGTGTAAAGTCAGAGCTACACAAGTTCCCAAACCTTGTATCTTCCGAAAAAAACAAAAAAAAAAAGTTCTCAAGGCTTGCAATTTGTAAGTGGGGATATTTTCTAATTTTCTAATTTCTTTTAACTAGTTAACAGACTTAAAAAACCTTCAGTTTTAAAATTGTGAATATTAAAATAAACATTAATAAAGAAGACACAAACTTCCAAATCTGCTCCTCTGTTGAATGCATTGAGGGTGGGCCTGCGAGGGTACTGTGTGGACTTCTTCAAGATGTGTGAAAGGCAAAGGCATGTCCTCAAAAGTCAAAGACACTGTTTGCAATTACTCAATCCTTTTCAACCTTTTCAACGAATAGCGCTTCTAGGCATTTTCACGTTTTGTGTACGTTTTTATTTCAATTCTTACTATTTATAATTTAATTTTATCACTTCTGCGCTTCTACTCTCTAATTCACTTTTGTTTCTATTCTACTTTAGGTGACTTAAGTAAAAAAATATAATAGGATGCATTGGAAAGAGGAATGAGAGACATACTAAGTAGTAGATTTTATTTCTTTCTTAGGAAATCTTGTATAAATATTGAATAACATTATTTAAAAAAAAAATGGTATTACATTAATTAGTACACTTAACTCATTTTAAAATGAATATTAATTAAAAAAGACAAAAAATATAATTCCGAAGGTTGCAAGCCCGCAACCCTATTTAATGAAGAACAAAGTTTCGAAACTGCAATTCTATTTAATACAGAAATACTCATCTATTGAACGGAGAGGATGGGCTGGGAGGGTTACTGTACTTTAGGGGGGTACGAAGGACAAAGGCACAAAGATATTTACTTATTTTTTAGGGATATATTAAAGATAGCACAGAGATATTTACTAATTTTTAGGGATATATTGAAATATATATCTCCAAATATCTTTGATTCCGCCTTAAACTTTAAAATCTATAATCATAAATATCAAAATAAACATTAATTAAAAAATAAATAAAAAATAGTTCCGGAGCTGCAACTCTATTAATTCTACTTAAGGAAGAGCAAAATTTCGAAACTGCGACAGTAAATAATTGAATCATAATATATTAATTCATATTTCAACACTAATTTCTTTTTAACACCTACTAATTCAGGTAGTTGATTAACCGACCTCAAAACGTTCAGTTTTAAAAATCGTAAATATTAAAATAAACATTTGTAAAGAAGCCACAAACATGATCATCAAGTTCCAAATATGCTCCCCTGTTGAATGCAAGGAGGGCCTGGGAGGAGGGATACGGTGGACCTTTTCAAGATGCGTGAAAGGCAAGAGACAGATACTCAAGACATTGTTTGTATGCAAGCAGTGTGAGAGAAATAGGTAGGGCCCATGGGGGAGGAGAGAGTGAGAGATATAGCCTAGGTAGGGCCCACGGGAGGAGGGGTACAGTGGCCCTTATGAAAAAGTGTGAGAAGGGCAGGGGCACAAGTCGCCAATAAAATTTGCAGCTTGTAAGCACAGAGAGATATATATAAATTGGATCTTGCTCTGCGAAGAGAATCCACAAAATTCACAACAAGACAAGACAATTAATTAGATATAGGCCGGCCACCTCTAGTCCTACCCAATCCTTGCTCATTTTCACAAAAATATATGATCCCAAGACAATAATTACCATATATTTCACCACCTTCCTTAATATTTCATTTCTGATCAATCTTCTTCACATCCTTTTTCTATATATACACACATATGTTGGATGTGTATATGCATATAGCGGTTGTAGGACTTTGAAAGAGATTGAGAGGGATATATCCATCTGTGAGAGTCTTTGTTTTTTTTGATCTAAACTGAGTTTGGTGTACCTGTCAAGGTTTCAAAAAAATGGAGTTGGGGTTCATTTGGGCGGTGTTAGTGGGCGTTTTTGGAGGTGTTTTGGGTGTGTGGTGGCTGCTTAGGAGTGTCAACTGGTGGTTGTATGAAACAAAGTTGGGTGATAAGCGCTTCTCTCTGCCTCCGGGTAATTTGGGGTGGCCTTACCTTGGCAACATGTGGTCTTTCCTCGGAGCCTTCAAGTCCAGCGATCCTGATTCTTTTATCTCCAGCTATGTTTCCAGGTTCTCTATTTCTCTCTCTCTCCTTTCATATTATATTTGATAACCCAGGTACCACTGGGCGCATTTTGGTATTTTTGTGCCTGAATTGAGCATTTTCATGTGATGTGAATTCCTACTCTAAGCCAAAAACAAAAAACAAAAAACAAAAAACCCTCCTACTCTGAGCTATTATATATATATGTGATGATTCACCCTCAATCCAACAATTGGGAAAATATGCATCACAGAGTATTGGGAAAATATGCCTAACAAGAAACTTTTTTTTTTTTTTTCCTTTCAGGAAAGCCATCACAAAAGAAAATATTCCATGTATAAAAGTTCAAAAAAATGATGGTAATAAAAAAGTGTAACTCTCATAAAGCAAAAATGTTGATAAGGACTTTTTGGTAACTTAATATATTAAAAATTACTACCAGGAGTACAATTATGTGGCTTGTCATATTTTAAAGTAATAAAATAAGATATAACTTGTTGATTAGTTTTTGTTATCGGATGACAACTATTGAGTTTAAGAGTCTAAAAAAAATAGACTCTATTCTTATCAAATGGTCTATTCTAATGGTCTATTCTTACAGTAACAGAGTTCTTTTTCCACCTTTGTCAATTATAAGGTTGTTTTTTTCCACCTTCGTCAATTATTTTTTAGGTGATTCAAGATATTAAAGAAGTTGAAGAGTCTAAAAAAAAGACTATATTCTTATGAAATAGTCTATTCTAATGGTCTATTCTTATAGTAACGGAGTTCTTTTCTAACCTTTATCAATTATAAGGGTTTTTAGGTGATTCAAGATATTAAAGAAGTATTTTTGTATTAGTCCTGTTCTAAATCACTGGGAATTATGTTCTCTTGAATTACTAAAACTTACTTTAGCGAGAATTAACGATACTCGGTCTCTGTATTAACGATACTCTGCTCTGATTTACTTTTACATCAACAGATAATCTGATCTGAATTATAGTTACACTGATTTGCTTTATTTATTTTGAAGTAATTAAGATTGGAACAATTATCCCAAACTATTTTTCCAACCCCTCTCGTAATTTTTCTCATAATTTTTCTATTGCCTACTAATACTAAATTTAAATATAATAGATCAAATATATTAAAATTTATATTAAAAAACAAGACTTTTAGAACATTTTTTTACATATTTGAGTTCATTATTTTATACTTTGTCGCTTCGTTGTACACTTGTACACCTCCATTGAGAATTTATAATCAATCTGAACCATCTTAATTTTTTTAGAATTTTTTTTTTAAATGTACAATCTTTAATTTTATTTTCTCTAGTTTTCTAGACATATTAGTATACACATTTTTCACATGTCATTTTCTAACAAAAATAAGAATATTTTAAAAAATCTTTAGGTAATATCTTAAGATTTTTACTAAAGAATACTTTAGAAATTCATCACATTTCATTTATATAAATATAAATATATATATATATATATATATTACTGCAACATTTCATATATTTTTCCATTGTGATCACGGAACAAAAATAATAGTGAAAGTAATTTCAGTTTAACAATAGATGTACTAACATGTTTCCTTTGTTATTTCAATTTTTTTTTCATTCTACTCTATTTAAATCATACTTGTTAGATTAAATTGGTTACATAGTGAAATTTATCCACAATTATTTATCATTGTTGCTTATTTCAAATGTAATTGAATTTGATGAGGACATCGTTTAAGTCTGGATTTTACAGGGCTTTTGCCCTGTTATTCATAATCACGTCAGATACATTATTAACTGATTCTAAGTTATTCCCTCTTCTGTTAAGGACAAAAATTTAATAAGTTAGTAATCTTAACATATGATATTACCCTAATCAAACATATAACCTTAACATATTATGTTATCCTAAATTACAGAAGAATTTTTTTTTTCACAATTTTCTACTACTATTATACCAGACCAAACAATGATCCATCTTTTTAAAAATAACTATATAAATAAAACTGATTATATATTTATTGGTAAATTATTGTACTATGATTATATTGTGTCGGAGAAATTAGTCAATTACATTCTTGTTTAAATGAATTATGCAGATTTGGACGCACAGGAATTTATAAGGCCTTCATGTTTGGTAGTCCAAGTATTATTGTCACTACACCTGAAGTATGCAAGAAAATCTTAACTGATGATGAAAACTTCAAGCCTGGTTGGCCTAGTGCGACCATGAAACTTATTGGAAGAAAATCATTTATTGGTATTACAGATGAAGAGCACAAACGATTAAGGCGGTTAACTGCAGCACCGGTTAATGGTCACGAGGCATTGTCGTTGTACTTGCAATATATAGAAGATATTGTAAAAGCTGCCTTAGAAAAATGGTCAACAATGGGAGAACTAGAGTTCTTAACTGAACTTCGAAAGCTCACATTTAGGATAATTATGTACGTTTTCCTAAGTTCCGAGAGTGAGAATGTAATGGAGACTTTGGAGAGAGAATACACTGCACTTAACTATGGAGTTAGAGCCATGGCAATCAATATCCCAGGATTTGCTTATCATAAAGCACTTAAGGTAAGATTTTTTTTTTTTTTACTTTTCATTCATCTTTATTTTTGAAATCATATTTTTAAGAATTTTTTGCTTAAATCATTGATTCTTTAGAGGAAATGTTCTACAAAGTATACGGACTAAAACATATTAGCAAATCTAATACATTTGAAACAAATTTGTTTTTGTTGACAAAAATAGAATTGGTACAAAGAGAAATACTATTTTAAGTTCAGTTGTTAAATGACCTCACCCTCTTGGATTTTGCATCTAACAAATTTTCAGACTTTCATGTCTCATTGAAGACGCCTATAACTAAAACATTTTGAGAAACATGAATAAAAGTATTTTGATTAGTCTTAAATTTTTTTATTCAATTATTGTTTTGGGTATTGCAATTTACATTTGTTTTCTATATTTTAGGCACGAAAGAAGCTTGTTGCTGTTTTTCAATCTATAGTGGATGAGAGAAGGGAGCGACGGAGGAGCCATCTACCAACATCGAGGAAAGACATGATGGATGCTCTGATGGAAGTTGAAGATGAGAAAGGTAGAAGATTGAATGACGAGGAAATAATCGATGTTCTACTAATGTATCTAAATGCTGGTCATGAATCTTCTGGTCACATCACAATGTGGGCTACCCTTTTTCTTCAAGGGAATCCTGAGTTATTCCAAAGAGCTAAGGTAAATCTAGCTAATGGTCCATTGTGCATCCACTATATGAACTTATACAAGCATTGAATTTGAAAAATGATCTATCAACTTGATGAAGTAATTTTGACCTAATTAAGTGCAACATTCACAATACAACTAAATTAGATTGAATGATTTTTAGTAATTTCTTTTTGTCAGCATGTTGTTATCTAAATATATTATATTGTATGTATGGTGGATAGTGGAGTAGTGTATTCTTTCATATGTAAAACAATAAATATGATTATAAATTTCTATATAAACGTTCAACTCAACATACTTTCTACTTCGAATCTATTTAAGGCAAGATGATGACATAGAATTGGTACGTTAAATATATATATTTACTGTGATTTTTTTATTTTTAAATTTTAAATTTCCTGTGATTTGTTTATTTTAAAATTTTAAAATTCAAATCCTTAAGTAGTTTTGACACATTTTAGGAAGAACAAGTGGCAATTGTGCATAATAGACCACCAACACAGGAGAGGTTGATGCTCAGGGAAGTTCGACAAATGGAGTATCTCTCCAAGGTATGTGATCTTCTAGAATTTTAGATGAGTTCAGTTTCTACTAATTAAATTTACATCCAACATGTATTAATTATTTTCAATTTTTTTTTTTCTTCAATGAAATCTTGAAGGTAATTGATGAAACGCTTCGTTTGATAACATTTTCATCTATGACATTTCGTGAGGCAAAAACAGATATCAACATATCCGGTAAGTTTATGTTTCTTTCTCTGAAAATTTAGATGATATTCAATGTTTGTTCATTTAAATGATATTATTGAGAAACAAAGTAAGTTTCCACAAAAGGCTTTAATCTGAACCTCATATTGTATAATGTGTAGAAGTATGATCTGTTAGCAAACACATATATCAACATAATATAATCTCTTACCAAATAATATACATTACATATATAATATATATATGAATATGATGATTTTCTAGAGTATTTCTTAATGAAAAATATTTGAGATATTATTTAAAGATTTGTAAACATATGATAATTTGGGCATCTAGAAAGAAAATTTAAGAAGGTTCAAATACTCAATGGAGATGTAGAACTAAATAAAAAAATTTAGAGTACTCAACTCAATTTCTAGTTTTACATTGGAAATATCTTCCTTTTTATACAAATCTTAATACTTTTTCTAACTAAATATCTGAATCATCCTACTTAATTTTCGTGAAAACATATCGAAGACTAGAAAAATATTAGGGATTATTGAGAAATGAGGGAGGGAATAAGGTGGATGAAACTGCATTTATATTTATTTGAGCATATCATTTTAATTTACTTATAAAAAAATTTACAAATATAAATGGTTTTTGTGTTATAGGTTATACTATTCCCAAGGGATGGAAAGTTTTAGTGTGGTTCAGAAGTGTTCACTTGGATCCTGAATCTTATCATGAGCCAAAGGAATTCAATCCTTCACGATGGCAAGTATGTTCAGAGTACCACTACTCTTTTCCTCCAATGCATTAGGTGTAATAGAGTTAACATATTTCATTTATGTATTATGTTTTATAAGATGCTTTGTGCTGCAGGGTTTCACACCCAGATCAGGAAGTTATCTTCCGTTTGGAGCAGGAAGCAGGATGTGCCCGGGAAATGATCTCGCGAAGCTAGAAATAGCTGTTTTTCTCCACTACTTTCTGCTTGATTATGAGTGAGTTATATTGCTTACCTAAAGTGATTTAAGCCATACTTGGTTACAGAGAAAGTGGAGGGAAACTTAACTATAACTATTTTACCGTGCAATTTTTTGTTTGTTTTTTTTCAATTTGCAGACTTGTTCGGGTTAATCGAAAATGTGAATTAATGTACTTGCCACATTCAAGGCCTAAAGACAATTGCTTGGCAAGAATCAGAAGGATCTCGCAAGGATGAGTGGCGGCTCATATTTTTGATTCGTCATAAGATTTACGTATTGTCTCATTAGGAACAGGTTTGTCGTATGATGTTAGGTTCTTGTTTTGTTAGAATTCGTTTGCTGCATTAGGAAGAGGTTTGGTGTATGATTTTAGGTTCCATTTTGTTGCAAGGAAACCTATATCAGGAAAAGAAGTTCTATCCATGTTGTTAGCTAGAAAACATATTTAACACCTTCAGTGTTATGTTTTTTTTATTTTTTTTTATTTTTTTTTATTTTATTTTATTTTATGGTATTGGCTCTATGGTTGTATGAAGATGGTTTGTTATCTTCATTTTTAAATCTGTATATGCTGCATTCTTGCTTCAAAGTTAGTAATTGCGGACTTAAAAGTAAATATTGTTAGCTTCATTTTGAAATCTGTATTTGTTGCATTAGTAAGTAATTAATGCAATATATACAGGTAAGTAATTTTGGACTTATAGACCCCCACAGATCCAAGGGGTTGAAGTTTGTGGTCACACACTACAAACCCATTTTTCATTGCTATATTTCCTTGAATTGAAAGGTGAATTTCACCAACTTCAATTCGGTCTATTTATCAAACTATTTTACAAGTATCTCAAATTTTACCAAATTTTACATTTCACTTTTGCTAAATAACTAAGAATATTCAATTTCTATATAATACTTTTTTCCAACCGCACCGAAGTTTTTCAAGTTGAATTATCATAAGAAGGATTGCCAATTATTACCATTTTAGTGCATGCGTCAGATTAAAGTTGAAAACATGGTGAGAAATGAAGGTTATTATTATTTGCACAGAGCAGTTCTCTCAATTTGCTCAAGCATAGGCGTATTTTACAATTTAAATTCACTTTTGGCTTTTTATCCCATGAAGCATCACCTAAACTTCATGGATAAAGAGTACTCCATTTTAATGGCAATCTTCAAAGCAATACACTCAGTCACTCAAGTATCATGCAACACCAAGCGTTTGAATTAGCAAATTACCATTTCCACTTACCAAGAAATAAATAAATAAAATGAAAACAAACAATTTTGTAATTTGAAGCCCGCGGATCTTACTCGGTGCACGTGGCTTGTGAGGATGTTGCTTGTGTCCTGGTTCCTGAAATTAGGGCTGCAACTTAGGCGGGTCGGGAGGGTTTGAGGTATAACTAAAGCCCAACCCACCATATGATATAATAAACTCAAGCCCAACTATAACCCTATCCTCAACCCAAGCCCAATTCATCTTTCTACTTTTAAATTCGGGTTTAGATTTCGTGTTAAAATTTCAGGTTAATTCGGGTTACTCATATGGCTAATTTTACACCGAAAATTTTATATGATCTTGAATTAGTTTTAGATTAAATTACTCTTAAAGAAGAAAAAGTTCAAAGACTTTTCGTAGATTTTTAATAAATTACAAATAAATTCTTAGAAAATTAAATCTCATAAATGTTAACATGTTAATATAGAATAAGTTGAAAAGAAAAAAAGTAATTATAATTTAAATATTATATATAATGTATTTTAATATAAAAATATATATGAAAATAATATTATAATTCTTTTTGGGTTGGCTCAGGTTGCTAGTATTTTAACCTAAGCCCAACCTTAATTTAATTTGGATTGATATTTTTTTAACTCAAGACCAACCCAAACCATAATTGTAAAAATAATTATTCTGAAAAATTAGGCTCAGCTCGAATTTCTAACTCAAGTTGCACCCCAATCTGAAATGAGTCTTGGGTATATGGGTCACGTGGGAAAGAAAAAAAAAAAAAAAAATCCAGGTGGACGATGACATGTCATTTGACTACCCAATCCACTAGATGAGATTGCAAGCTCAAGTGAGACTCCTCTCATTTTAACATTTTTCACTTTTATATTCATTTTCCTATGGCATAGAGTTCCTCACATGTGGCGTCCTTAGATTGCACAATATACAAGTGTCTTATCTGTAATCAACCATATAGGATCACCAACCCCATCAGTTCAATATATATATGTGGTCAAGTTGCCCAAGATTTGTTGCACAAGAACAACCAATGGCGGCAACGGCTAGTTTTGCTAGAGAGTTGGGTGCTGCCGTTAGGAAAATGGCGGGAAACAAAGGGACAACCTGGTACACTCCTCACATGGCGGCTGCGTCTCGTGCCATTGCGGAACGAATTCCATTGGTTGATCTTGTCCTTGAAGTCAGAGATGCAAGGGTAACCAAAAGTCTAACTCCTTTTTCCTTCCTAAAATCCCATTCTTTTTGGTTGACATATCATGGTTGTGGCGAAACAAGTGTTTGATGAAATGCCTAAATGACAGTCTTATACCTTGTTTGTGTAAATTTTCTATTTTGTCATCTGAGTTTTGGTTAAAGTACGAGCAATCAATTCATGGATGTTTGTGCAAATGTGAAGAACTCTCCTCTCTAAGTTGGTAGATTCTATATAAGTGTTTGCATATATACATTTATGTATGTAATATCATATAGATTGTTAAATGAATTTCAAAGATACCCAACATGTTAAATAACGTTCTGTAAAATTTTAATTAATTAATTGCAGATTCCTTTGTCATCAGAATGTGAGCAGCTGAGAAATTTTCCATCTTCTTCAAGGCGAATCATAGCCCTGAACAAGATGGATCTCGCAAATCGTTCACAAATGAAGGTAGTTGTTGTCCCTCAAATTTCCTGTTGTTTCAGTTGGTAGAGCCATGTATAGTTTTGGCATAATATATTCACATCAAGTATATGAAATTTCATATATGTTTATGACTTGGTGCAACTGCTATTTCAGCATTTTGTCCTGTAATACTTATTTGCGATAATATTCTGAAAAGATATATTGAAATGGATAAGAGTAATTATTTTTTATTTATGTAATATTTTGCTTTCTGTTTTCTGTATATAATTCCATCATTTATCATTGACTTATAGGATTGGATGACATATTTTGAGCAGCATGACTGCATATCTTATGGAGTCAATTCCCATAATAAGGACAATATCAAGGAGGTAATGATGTTAGTCCTTCGAAATGCATTCAAGTGAACGTAGAATTTATTAAATGTGTTTCTTGTGGAGTCTCATTTGAGCCCTTTCTGTTTTTCATGCATTCTGAAATGAGTCTCTTTTGTTGCATGCGTATGATCAGTTTCTTAAATATATCTGATCATATTGTTCCAGACTCTCTGAGATCTATAATTCTTGTTTGGATGGTTTATTTGTATGTGTGTGTAGGTAATGATCCTATTTTAAAGTGGGATCTGTGCATTCAATTGATATGGAAAACACGATTCTGTAATCCCACTTCCATGGATTATCCAAGCTGTCCCCATATAATTTTTGCCATGTTTCTTATTTGTGTTTGAATTAAAGTGGGCATGCTCATATGATATATGTGTATGCCTAACTTACCTGAACTTCACATCCATCACTTTAGAAGGGTCTATCACTAGTTTTACTTGTACATGGCAGAAGACTCATTCTTTCAGAACTATTTCCATGGCCATGTTTTAGTTTATTAAATTTTTTGAACCACTTGACCTAGTTCACATCCTACAGTTACTGAACTTTCTACAAGCAAGACTGAGAGAATTGAAAAGGACTGATCATTCCAACTATACTGCAACAATAATGCTACTTGGGATTCCTAATGTTGGTAAGTCAGCACTTGCCAACTCCTTGCATCAAGTTGGGCGGATCAGCGCTGCAGGTACTAAAGCTTTCTCAATCCCATTAGCTATATATATCTATATTTAAAGTCAAAGCATTTATTTGTGACATTTTTGAGACGTTTATTGACTTTTAAGAAAAAGGAAGGTTGAAACATGCAACAGTGAGTCCACAGCCAGGGGAGACAAAAGATATTAGCAGCTTTAAGGTGTGTATCCTTCTTTAATCATCTTACTTCGCTTGAAGTTCTTTTCTTTAGCATGTGCACACCCTTTTGAAGCCATTACTAGTTTTATTACATCACCACCAATATTTTCTATATTCTGAGATGGGCTGAATTAGAATTTGGGTATTCATGATCCACTTTTTAATCCTTATGACACTTAATTTGGCTGCCAAGAAACTAAGGAAAGGAATAAAAAAATTAGATGGTGCTACTTCCTGTCATGGGATTGGTTGCCAGCAGATTCCACGGTTTTTGTCGTTTCATCTGGATTCTTGTCCATGAAATGGACATGAGGAGTAATGTTTGTTATAATTAATGCAGCATTTTATCGTTTGTTTCATTGACCTTATCTGTATGTTTGCTTTATGCTTGTCTATGTTATTATAGAAAGTTAATTTTCTTTTCCAGATTGCTAGCCATCCTAATATTTACGTCTTGGATACTCCTGGTATTTTACCTGCTGAGATTCTAGATGTGGAGGTCTGCTCCAAACTAGCTTTGACAGGTATGATCATATCAAATGCTCTAATGCATTCACAGTTAGGTACGAGTCTTTGACCATTGCTGCTTCAAATTAGTTAGGGTTACTCAGCCAATCAAACTCGTTTTTTCTCATACTGTATTCTGTTTAAGATGGAAGAAATTTTTTTGCAACCTAGACTTTACAGCAATTTCTGCTAAAATTTCCTTGTATATGCAGGAGCTATTAGTGATTGTTTCATTGGACAAACTGAACTTGCTCGATATTTTTTGGCTGTCCTCAACACAAGCAATGAGTACAGGAAATGGGCAAAGTTGTCTAAAACGGAGATTGACATATCATCATTTGATCACAAAACAGAGTGTTCTGGTAGCTCTGAGTTGGAGAAGAGACAAAAGAAGCAATATGCCACAGATCACACACAGGTATCAGAACTTAAGTCTTCAAATAAATCAAAATTAAGTTCACCTTATTGATTTGCTGCATTTAAGGATGATTTTATTCTTTAGTCTCTGTTTGCTACTAGATGACCCCAAATAACTGATAAAAAGGCTTTGTTGAGTTGAGCAAATTATTTCTGTGTAAGAGAAATACAATAGAACATTGCCTTCAAGCAGCAACAACCATATTTGGCCCAATATACTTCTCTCACATTAGATAAAACACAGCAACAACCATATTTGACGCAATATACTTCTCTCACATTAGACAAAACTCATAGACCTTTTGAATTGATGCATAAACTGAAAATCCTTTTCTTGAAATATATATTAAAAAGAGAAAAGAAATATAAATGAATGTAACAAACCGAGAAGTTAGTAGAGTTTGATGTCAAAGTTCCCTTTCCCACCTTCCTTATTAGCATAATGGTGAATGCTGATCAGAGTTCATTGCTTAATAGTTGACAAATGGTAACCACTATCTGGAATCAACTCTAGAATAATACTTTCCCATTTTCCAAGTTGTGTTTTTGGTGCGTTGGGATGGAACGGGATTGTACAAGGTCATATGTCAGAATCTTACCTACCAAAGAAAAGAAATATGAGAATAATAGAAAAAATAAGTTGCTAGCGGCAAACTTGCCAAAGAATTACTTGTAACTCACCGAGTAAAACTGAGTCTTTAGCTCCTAGATCTTTTTCCCTTCATCTGTAATTGATACATATAATGGTTCATACAGGATTTTGTGGTGAATGAAGTTCGTCGAACTCTCTTTGAGGTAATTTCGTCTTTTGACGGCAATCAGGAAGATGAGAAGAATTCAGTACAGCTCATCGAAGCACAGTTTGCAGCAGTGCAGAAAGCTTTTCATGTGCCTTTGGAATCAGTTGATGATACTTGTAATAAAGTTGCTTCTAAGTTACTTAATCTGTATCGTACTGGAAGGCTTGGTCATTATACTCTGGACCGTGTTCTATGGAACTCACTGTGATTCATTTCTTTATTTAGCTTTTGAGAAACACCATACTTCTTTTACATTATTCCAAAAATTGCATTGTCATTCCATATTTTCATTTAGCAATGTCATGGTTATGATTTGAAGAATAATTAAATGAGTTCAGACAACATGGTTCTGAGGCTACCAAAAGCCAGGATTAGGGATGGCAATTTGACCCGCCCCCACGGTTATCCGCTCCGCCTCGTCCCGTTTTTGGTAGTTTTGGGGGACCATTTAGCTTATTTGGACGGAGATGGTTTGATGTAATAAAAACCCGTGTGGATTTGGTGTGGGGGTGGGGGGAGGTACCTCCTTCCCGTTTAGATAGACAAATTACTTAAGTATCCTTATTTCATTAGTATATATATTTCTCACTGAAGAACTGAAGATGACGAGGAAAAAAAAAAAAAAAGAGCAAATCTATTTCAACAATAAATAAATTATGGTCTTAAATGGGGCGGGGCGGGTATCCACGGGGGTAAAAATGTTAAACGGTTGCGGAGTAGGGTGGAAAGCCCCCCGTTTTTGTAGTTTTGAATGGGGGCGGGATTTTTAAACGGTTGCGGGGGCGGGGGAGGGTACACCCGCCCAAACCCGCCCCCGTTGCCATCCCTAGTCAGGATCAACCTTAAACCAAAGGCACATTTTAGAACTTCCATGAAGTGGAGAAAAACTTCTTTGCGCCTATTACACGTATCCAATCGTTATACACTTGGACGGTCTGAATGCACGTTGCAACGGGCACATGGTAATGCACTCCAATTTTATTTTTTGGTAAACCATCAATACTACTTTAAAACAAGGGAAATTTACATATAAGTGGTAGCAGCAAAGGTATATTACCCATACATGAACATAGTTTGCTTATTTACCATCGCATGAACTAAAAGTCAAAGCATTTTATTTGAACCCTTTAGTATTAAAAATTATTTACTTTATGCACAATTTACCCAAAGAACAACTTGTTCAAGTCTTAGAATTTTGTCAAACAGCACTTGGGAACTACTACATAGCACTAGAATTAGGAGACACAACGTGTAGTCTACAAAGAAGAATCGAAGAACTTAGATCCAGAATTATATTAATACAAAATATTTTAGAAGCTAGACGGCAACGATTTTAGAAGTAATACAATAAAGTATTCCCAGAAAATCCTCTAAAGAGTTATCTGAATTTTCAGAAAAAATAAAAGGAAATAAAGTTGTCAACCAATAATCAGTCCTCTCCTGCACCAACCAAGCGTATAAATTTACTACAACCTCAACCTCATAAGCGAATACTACAATGGCCATTATCCTTAGAAAAGCAAAGAAATAATGAGAGTAGAAGATTTATACGATAATGAACTTGATGCTAAAAAATATATAGAAAAAAGAATGAAAAAGATAAAAATAAAGTCAATCTTTATTCAAATAATTTACTAGACTTTCAGAGCATTATATATAATCATTTTAGCCAAAGAAGAATAAATGCAGTTAAGAATCAAGTTATTCTAGACCTTATAACACCCGAAGCATGTCGAGAATTACATGATAATAATTTAGAACTTATGCATTTAGGTGTCATAATGATAGGATTAGTAGGATTAACCAGAGCAGAAAACTAGAGCACTTGCTTATATTTACGATGATCGATGGAATAACCATCAACAAGCACAAATAGCCAGCGCCGAAATAGATCTAGCAGACAATGCAGCAATAGTAGGATGTATCCCCAATTATACGATGACTACTAGAGAATTCAGTAAACATATTAAGATAGTTATATCCATAAAAGGATACAATATGATTGAACAATTTGAAAACTTACTAGTTAATACTTTATTTGTGGGAAAGCAGTTAATCAATATAACTTACAATTTAAAGCACAATTCAGTGAAATAGTTAAACCATTTAGCAGTAAGTATGTTCAGATGATAGAAGCTAGAAAAGTAAATAGTATTACCCATGAAGGAACAGAATAGAAGTTACCTAAACTTACTACTACACTTAAAAAGATTCCTGAAAAGAATACGATATATGTTACAAATAACGGAGAAGCTAGCATAAGGTTTAATAACTATAAAAGACAGGATAATTTAGTAGATGATACCAAGAAGACTTTTTAACTACACTCATAGAAATAGAATTCTCTGAAGAAATAAATGTCTTTTATGATAGATTGGAAGATGAAATTCTAGATAAAATAATGTACGATTTTGATAATTTAGATTTAGAAGCGTTGCAAGACAAGTATCTAGAACCAAAATACAAATTTATAGAAAGTATTTACTTAAGACAAGGAAATAATGATGATATTAAGAAAAATATTTTAAGCGTAGGATTTGAATCGTTCTATATAACATCAGAGTTAAATACAGTAAAAGAAGAGTTAAATGTAATAGAACATAGAGAAGGAAAAGTACCAGAAGGATCAGAATCTTAGTCAATTGACCAAGAAATGATTGACCAAAGAAAGATTAATGCCTCAGGTAGTAATACCATAAATGACGACTATACTACTGGACAAAGATTAAATCCTTCAAGGGAAACTTATGTAGAAAATAGAAATATACCAGATATGTATACATTGACACAATATCGTAGAAATTATGAGAATATACCAGCACAACAAGCATGAACAATATTAGATATAGCAAGACACGATCCCCAAGATTGGGCAAAAGTAATAAAAAAAACTGGGAACAAGATTGTATTAGGCAATCTATTTTGACCAATTTTGACAATAGAACTCAAGCCCTAACCTATTGTGAAACCTTATTAAGAGGAACCATTCATGACTTGTCGCAGTCTTATAAAGTAACTTATCTCAATGATTATGCCCTCTTACGAGATAAGGCTTTACTAGCCTAATAAAAAAGGTATTAGTTGGCGAAGATAGATTATTAGATGATACCTTAATAAAGCAAAACGAAGCTTTACGTAATTTATAATTATTGCAGATTTGTGATTTTAGATACATAAAAAAGTACACTAATAAGTTTTTTTGAGTATTTTGCAACCACTAATAAAACAGGAGATAAAACATTACTTGATAAGTATCTTCAAAAGTTACCCAGAAGTGTAGGAACAAAAATTTGGGAAAAATGGTTAGACAATCCTAGACAAGAAACGCTAACCATAGGAGATAGAGTTGATCATGTGTATAATATGCTAAAAACAGAATGTAGACAACGTAAAGAATCCAAACAAATCAAAAAACAATTTTATTATACTTGTAGACATAGATTTTCCACCCAGTACGGTTGTATGCCTCAAAAAAATTATAATTATAAGCATAATAAACCTAAAAAATATAATCTATGCAAAAGTAAGACTTACAAGAACTATCGTAATAAAAAACCTTATGTCAAACTAACCCTAGGCAATTCAGAAAGCGGACTTGGTATAAAAAGCATAAAATAAATAAAGATAAAAAGGATAATAAAGACAAATAAAATAAGGTAAACACTTTACCCACAAAGGAAAGACATTGCAAATGTTCTATTTGTGGCGATCTAGGACATATAAGACCAAATTGTCTTTATCAATACAAGCTGAATCCCATCAAAAGGATACAAGCAAAGATCAACATACTTGAAGATATTGAAGAACAGATAGAAGAATTATATGAACTAGAAAGTATTTATGATTCTGACGATGATAATGAAAGTATATATAGTATCGAAAGCTTAGATAATAATTTTGATAATGATGAAAACCTTGAACAAGGGCTTCATTCAATAGAAGATTACGTTTACACTATAAGTAATCCATCATGTCAGTATAGTTTAGTTAATTTTCAATTTTCTTCTTATAATTGTAAACAGTGCAATACATCTATTAAAAAAGGTCATTACTGTGAAAACCATTATAAAACTTTATTATGTCATGATTGCTATACAAAATATGAAGATAAGCAATAAGATATTCTAGTCGAATCTATAAATTCAATATATAAACCATCTAGTCTAATCCAATTCTCAGTAACATTAAAATTTAGAGAAAAATTAGTAAAAACCTCAGCTATGTTAGATACTGGAGCATCTAAAAGCATAATTCAAAAGCATTTAGTACCAGAGGAAGCATTAATAAAATTGAATTATAATATTAATATGAGTCAACATAATAATGAAAAACTACTTATAGCCCATTGTATTCAGAATATTCTTATCTTAATTAATAATGAAAAATTTGTTTTACCACAAACCTATGTAGGAAATAATACTCTTAGCACTTATGATTTTATTCTAGGATTAAATTTTATAAATTCACTCACTGGAGGATTCATGTATACTCCTACAGGTTTATAGTTTTTTAAGAAAGGAACCTTTATTCCATCTAGAGATCCTTATATTCCTCAAAAGGAAAAAGGAACCATTACTTATGTTAATACTTTACCTATGACAGAAGAAACTACAGAAAATTTATTTGATGTATCCAAATTTTTAGAGGACGTTTCTGAAGACTTAATGTTTCTTGGTCACCTCGATGAACCAAAGATTTTCCTTAATAAGAAAGTTATATTAAAAAACCCCAAACTGGACATAGATAATCTTATAAGACTAGCTGAAACCACAGAGATTTTAGGCGAAGATCCCCAGAAACACTAGTATAAAAATAAAATTGAAACAAAATTAAACATAATAAATCCTTTTATAACTATAAAAACATAAGATAATCCTTATACCTTAGATGGTCAAAAAGAATTCCAAAAACAAATTAAAGAACTTTTATTACTTAGAGTAATAAGAAATCATTACCTGGTTATTGGGCAGCTGGGTCATTGGCCCTGTAATTTCTTATACATATTTATACAATTTGAAAAAAAAAAAAAAAAAAAAAAATCGAATACAAGATAGAAAATGGTTTTCTAAATTTGATTGTAAATCAGGATTTTAGCAAATCCGTATGGCTGATGAATCCATTGAATGGACAGCGTTCACATGTCCTGAAGGACATTATGAATGGTTTGTTATGCCTTTTGGATTAAAAAATGCACCACAAGAATTTCAACGAAAAATGTATACTATATTCAATAAACATTCAAAGTTCTGTTGTGTTTACATAGACGATATTTTAGTTTTCAGTT